GTCTTGAGTTTTCCTTTCTCTGAGCTACGTTTGGAAATTCTAGAGTTTGTAAAAATTGCTTGCTACCCTTTTGAAAATACCTCGTACACTTGTGGTTAAGTCATAACCTTAGTTAAGGCTTATTGGTTTCACCTGGGAGATTACCTTTGGTAAAGTTCAAAAGCCAGACATATTGGCTGTTTAGCCTGGCTAAAGTCAAGTAATAAGATATTTAAAATGATTTTTTTAGGCTGGGCACGGTAGTTCACGCCTGTAATCCCAGCGCTTTGGGAGGCCAAGGAGGGTGGATCACCTGAGGTCAGGAGTTTGAGACCAGCCTGACCAACATGGAGAAACCCTGTCTCTACTAAAAGTATAAAAATTAGCTGAATGTGGTGGCTTGTACTGGTAATCCCACCTACTCAGGAGGCTGAGGCAGGATAATTGCTTTAACCTGGGAGGTGGAGGTTGCAGTGAGCTGAGATCGCACCACTGCACTCCAGCCTAGGCAACAGAGCAAGACTCCATCTCAAAAACCAAACAAAAGGGTTTTTTTTTTTAAAAAGAGTGCTATAGTTAAAAGTCAGCTTAATTAAAAGTGGATATCCAAGCTATAGGTATATTTAAAAGGCCTTTTGGTTTTTTCTCTTCTTGGATCTTGTTTTTTTTTTTTAAGTTTTTTTTTTTTTTCTTTTTAGCCAACTGAATTGTTTTTCTCCCTTTTGTCTTCTTGCCACTTTTGTTGCACACATGAGGGGACTTAAGGTAACTTCTAACAGCCTGGGACTCCTTGGGAAAAACAGAGGAGGCACTACAGATCCTGTTTTGGGATAAACCTCTGTTTTCCTCATGAAACACCAGGAATCAAAAGCAGATAGATCCCTCTGAAAATCTAAGGCTAAATATCCTTTTGGGGATGGCCAACACAGCAAAACCCAGTCTCTACTTAAAATACAAAAATTAGGCTGGATAAGTGGTGCACACCTGTAGTTCCAGCTACTGGAGAGTCTGAGGCATGAGGGTTGCTTGAGCCTGGAAGGCAGAATTGCAGTGAGCCGAGATTGCACCACTGCATTCCAACATGGGCAACAGAGTGATACTCTGTCTCAAAATAAAGGAAAGAAAAAAAGAAAGAAGGGAAGAAAGAAAGAGAGAGGAAGGAAGGAAGGAAGGAAGGAAGGAAGGAAGGAAGGAAGGAAGGAAGGTCATTTCCACAGTTAACTGCTTAATGCTGATGCAGTTTCTGAAAACTTCACAAGTAGGCAGAATTCTAGAATATGGTGTCTTTTAGTTGGTTCCTGAAAGAATGGAAAGGACCCCAAAAAGTACTCTTGATTACAGGTTTCTGATAACTTTAGAATCATATCATTTTTACTGGGTAAGAAAATTCCCTGGAGCTTTTTTTTTTTGAGACGGAGTCTCACTCTATCGCCCAGGCTGGAGTGCAGTGGCGCGATCTTGGCTCACTGCAACACTGCAAGCTCCGCCTCCCCAATTCACACCATTCTCCTGCCTCAGCCTCCCGAGTAGAGTAGCTGGGGCTTCCTGGAGCTTTAATGAAAAGACTGACTGGTTTAGAAAACTGCTATTCCAAGTAGAACACAAATTAATTGAATACCAAGAAAATACTTTGCAAGCCTTTCATGCTAAATCAGCCAATACTGAAATTGTTTTGATATACAATTTGAATAAACTCCGTGGTCTAACTCAAATTACCTGTGATAACCCATCAGTTATCAGTGCTATGCACCTCAACTGGAGAAACAACCGTGTTAAGCATGGACTCATGGAGAACCAAGGTGGCTGCCTTATCCTTCCTGAGCTTTTAAAGCTTTTATAATTTAAAGTTCTGCATTCCATCACTCATCATGGAAAAGATAAAATGATCCAAGTTAAATGCATATTGATGTGGTGACTTCTATATTGCTAAAATAGTTTATGACGAATGTTTGGTTTGCCAAATCCATATTCCTGGGAAGACAATCAAAGCTTCAGGTACATTCTGCTACCCAATGAGCCACCTAAACATTTATGAAAGGATTTCAGTCAATTGTCATTTTCAGTGCATGTTTTCTGGTTGTGAAAAAGCTTTCCTATACAAGTCAACTGATGTTATAACAGTAGATTATTATGACACAGTGTATTTTCACCAGATAAAGAAAGCTTTTTATGGCTCACTGACTGAGGACAATCAATCCCTTCACAATCTGGAACCTGAAGATTGGATCTTCTGAGAACATCAGAGAAAGAGTGCCCCTGCCATCCACACTGCAGCAAACATCAGAACCGTGAACCTTGGGTTCATAATCTCTCAACTGAGAAGGATCCCTCCGCATTCTTGGAACTGTACGCCCATCGGAACCCTTAAGGTAAAGCTAACCAGGGAAGTTTCTCCCCAGAAGAAGATAGTATCCTTGATGTGAAGAGCTTTTACCAAGATCACAGATCACGACTTCTCTGCTATAATGAGGCTCTTTGAGTATTTTTCCCCTTGCTTATGCCTCTCTGAAGAATAGAAGTACAAAGGGGGTCTGTTGTGTGCACTCATGGGGTAAGTATACTTTTATTTGTGAAGGGTTTTGCAGCCAGCCTTATACATGGATAACCTCACACCTTGATAGATGAAAGATGAAGGCCCAGTGTAGGTGAGAAGTTTTAATAGTACATAGGTTGCCTCATCATCAGTCAGAAACAGAACATTGATTCACTCCCCTATTCCACGTCATGGGTTAAAGAGAACATTGCCAGGAGGACTTCACTCTTCTAGAAGCGTCCTTTTTACCATGATTTGGAGTAAAACAGGCAATGATTAGAAATGTATCCCTCATGATAGGCTCTAAACAGAGTCTACTGTAGGGGCTATGGTTATGCAACAGATTTTAAATTCTTTTGTGAAAGTTATGCTTAATAATAGGATTGCTGTAGATTACTTACTGGCTAAACAGAGAAGTATCTGTGCAGCTGCTGGCACTTGTGGCCTATGGAGAAATAAATCATGTCAGGTACTACAGAGATTCAGTTGTAGGTAATTAATGAAGAGACTACCTAGTTAAGTGAGTAACTCTTTATTTAGTTCGTTCTTTGATCTATTTAATTTCAGGTGGTTTGGTTTATGGTACCTTGGGTAAGGAGCATACTCCAAACTCTTGATATTATCCTCCTGATAGTCATAATAGTAGTCTACCTGGTGCACTGTATTCTCTCAAAAGTTTTAAATGTTTGCATGCAGCCATCTCTAGAATGTCAAATTGTCTCTTTTCACCTGGAATGACAAGAGTGAAAGAAATGTGTGACCATGAGGGCACTTTAACCTATGAATGATGTACCGAGACTGGAAACCAAAAATGATGGTAGCTGAGAGTGACGCTAAGGCCCTAAGCTTTGGTCACGTTCTCACTTAAGTGAGAATAAAAGGGAATATTTTTAAACGAAATCACGAGAGGCCATTGTTTTGGACTTCAGTGAAAGTCCAAATGCACTAAGCTCCAACAGATCAGACCAAACCAAAATGAAGTCCCTCGTGCTAAATGTGACATAATTAAACTAAGACTTTAAGGAAACACATAGATTCTAGAACAGACCAGGTTTTGTTTTTTATCCTATAAACAGAACGTTCCAGCAAAAGGAGATACCCTGTAATCTAACCCTTACAAAAATAAAATAAAATAAACAAATAAACTGAAGTCCTTGTTCCCCCTTACAAAACTCATTGTTCTGCTATTTCCCAGTAGGTTTCAAGACCAAATAAGTACATTTACAATGGTGATAGTGGCATCAATGACTAAAGTTTTGGTCAATCTCTCAAAATTGAGATGACGACCAAAAAAGCAAAATTGTTAAATCAAGTTTAGCCTACAGCTGTCTCCTTACATATTTTAAGTTTGGCTTAAAGGTTTCTCTGTACATCGTGAACTATAATAAGTGGAGGCGTAAACAGACTGTGGCCCACATTTGTGCCAATCACCAAGTTTTGGCCAATCATATGTAGCCAACTGTTCAAACTGTGTTCAAATAAGGATACACCCAGCTGTAACCAATTGGGTGTTTCTGTACTTCACTTCTGTTTTCTGTATGTCACTTTCCTTTTTTTGTCCATAAATCTTCCACCACATGCCTGCACGGGAGTCTCTGAACCTACTCTGCCTCAGGAGGCTGCAGGATTCACGAATCATTCATTGCTCAATTTGACTCTTTGCACTTTCAACAACGGGGAGGCGTTTCTCTCTGTATGAATTATTAGCTCAGGAGGTCTAGGCTGGTGAATGAATGCAGACTTACAGGATAAATGTCTACTGGATGCATTCAAAAGGCCAAGCAACATTTGGTTAAGGGGTATTTGTGACGGCATTCAGAGAAAATGTTGAAAGTGTGTTAGATTATATTTATCATTGTAAATTCTGATGCTCATTTAATTTCTTAACAGTAATGCTAATACATGCTCTTAGTAAGTTATATGTCGAATCAGTGCTATGTCAATATGGGTCCTATAACACAGATCTGCAGTCTGCTCAGCACTGAATAGCTAAGAATAGTGGCTTCAGACCTGAATGGATGACGACACCAAACACGATGATCGGGCAGCTCATTGAAATACAGTAAATCCAGGAGAGGTCCGTGTCCAACGGGCCACCTTATACAATAGCTTGGATATCCCCATTTTCATGGTTGTCTTCTTTCCTACGTGTAAACCACATTGAACTTCTTTATTAACTCTCACTGTTTGCCAAAACTCTCAAGAAAAAAAGTGATGAGACATGACTTGGTATATATTCTTCACAGAAAACGATCATGCTGGGTTTTGATTACTGATGGCACTAAGGAGAAAGGAACTTGACTGGAGGCCCCATGAGAGAAACCATGCATTGAATCCAGGAACAGAATGATAGAAACTGGCTTCAGGGCAACTGCTCAGCAGCAGCATCCTCTTGGGAGGCTGGGGGTCTGTCCTTCAAGCAGATACTGGGACTAAAGAAACAGAAAATGCTTGTTCCAAGGCACATTAGTCTTTTAGGCAAGGTCAGGAACCCAGTGGGGGTAAAAAACAAAGTTATCCCAGGTTGCTGGCCCCCTTCCTTTAAGTCCCAGGAGACAAAAATAATGGTGAGAGGCTGAATCTCACGCTGACAAAGAATAGAGTTGATCTGAGCTTCCTTTAGCAATGGAGCCATGCAATGCTCTTTCCCCACTCATCCCAGGGCTGAGGTTGAAACAGGGGTTCAGGCCTCAGACTCTTTTCCTAGAGGAGCCTCAGTGTCACAATGCACAGAAAGGACTTATGTCCTCCTGTAACTCCCCCAATAAGGAAAACAAAGCAGGAGTATTGCCTGTTTATGCAGATCCTTGTTGAACTGAAATGACAGGAGGAAAGAGAATGTATTCAGCCATTGAAACCACCTCAGACAATTAGAGAAACGTTTCCGTCACACTTCCATTGCCCATCACTCAATGGACACTCTGCAGGAGGCTGAGTAACTGGGACTTCATGCATCTGGCTGCATTAAGATGCTAGGCTGGGATTCCTCTCTCCTTAGAAGCTGTCCTTGTTCCCTGACTATGTGATTCAGTAAGCTCTCTGGCAGTGCTTTTTTGTCTCAGCCCCTCATCATGGAAGAAGGGTGAGCAAGTCGGGAGAAAGGCAGGTATCGGTCACCTCACAGGATTTCTCACCTTTCTTGCTCCTTCTGTGCATGAAGATGCCCACTCCACAGATGATGAGCCCCAGCACGAAGCCCGCGGCTCCTGTCAGCGTCTTGCTCTGGGTAGAATCAGACTGTGTCTCTGTGAAGAACAGGCTCAGGTTGAGTGTCACCTCCAGCAGCTGCACCCCTGCTCACGTCCTGTCTGACATCCTGGAGCCTGATGCAGAATATCGGCACGAGGACAGTGAGGGGGATACACCTTGCATGATAGGAAATTGAGAAACAGTCACTCTTTCAATTCTGGAACAGAGGATGTGACCTCAACAACAGACAAATGCAGATTCAATTAGTTGCCTTTCAGAATAACTAGAATAAGCTAAAAGGCTGAAGGAAGACAATAGTTCCCATGTGTAAGGTCAGTTCAGGACGTGTCTGTGTCCCTAGATTCTTGGACAAGGAGAGGAACTATGAATCCTTAGGACCTCCTAGGCTGGGACAGGCAAGTCTCCATTGCCCCCAGATTAAAACTACACTCAGGGTCTTGTATAGAAGAAAAATGGGGTCGGACATGGCCCCAGGGTATAGACGCAGAAGACAAGACGAGTGAACCCCAGAGCCAGAGAGTCCCTGCTTTCCAGAGGTGGAGTCTAGAGGGTCATCAGAGACTAGCTCACTCCACTCCACAGTGACAGGACTGTCCAGGCTGGGGTGCTCCACTTGGCAGGTGTAGACGTCTCCCTGCTGGGGGGTCATTTCCAGCAACACCAGGATCTGGAAGGTCCAGTTTCCATTATGGATGAGGTTGGTGGACACGACCCCAGTTGTTTCCTCCTGTCCATTCAGGAACCATCGGACTTGAATGCTGCCTGGGTGGAAATCTGTCATGTGACAGACGAGCAGGTTGTGGTGCTGTAAGGGCCCCTTCTTGGAGGGGGAGACGTTCAGCCTCGGGTGGACTAGGAGTGGGGAAGTGGAAAAGTGGAATACCATTTGAGATTATTATTTCTTAGACATGCTCATTATGGAACTGATTTCTAGATGTTGAAAATAGGAATGATGGTCGGGCACAGTGGCTCATGCCTGTAATCCCAGCACTTTGGGAGGCTGAGGCAAGTGGATCACCTGAGGTCGGGAGTTCGAGACCAGCCTGACCAACATGGAGAAACCCTGTCTCTACTAACAATACAAAATTAGCTGGGCGTGGTGGTGCATGCCTGTAATCCCAGCTACTCAGCAGGCTGAGGCAGGACAATCGCTTGAACCCGGGAGGCGTAGGTTGCGGTGAGCTGAGATCGCACCATTGCACTCCAGCCTGGACAACAAGAGTGAAACTGTGTCTCAAAAAAAAAAAAAAAAAAAAGAAAGGAAAGATGTAATTAGGCCAGCGGATAAGGGGAGTACTGAAACTGTAGAAATAGTATTGAGAAGAATAGGAGGAACACAAACTTACCAGTTTGTAGCACATTTAAAAGAAATCTTGTCTATCAGCCACTGATTAACAGCCTTTGGACAAAGAATATTTAATCAGCAGTGATACTACCTTATCTTTTGAGTGCTCTATCCTGATGCAAAAGATGAAAAATTCCCTCAAATAATTTCTTGAAATTAATATATATATATAAACAACATTCTCACGATCTATTAATCCAATAACTATATTTCATAAATATATCAAGAAAATAAAGTGAGCTTGATAATGACTTATTCTGCAAGTAAGCTATGGATTTTTTGGCCTTGCCTACACTCAAAATCCTCCTATTTACATAATATGCTGAGTCCCTACATGCTTAAATGGTAGAAATCCCGTCCTTTTCCCTAAGTTCCTCCTCTACACTGTGTTGTCACGTCCACTGAGGTTCTCACAGATAACCAGGTGTTGGCTGTGCCTTGGCAGCTCTATTTTTGACCCCTCTTTTTCTGCTGCTTACAGATCAATTTCTACGTTACCACCTGCAGCTTTTCCTTTGGACCTCAGCTGCCAGTACCCTTTTCTTCCACAGAAGGCAGAAAAGGGCCAACTGCCCCTGGAGAACAGCCCAATTACAGGAATGTTCCAAATCAGAGCTTCTAGGTCCTTATTTACTCTGTTCTTGAGAACACAAATACCCTGACGTGGGCCTGTGCCAGGTAAATCAACAGTCTTGAACTAACCCACAACACTTACTCCCTATGGTATTTTTGCCTTGTGTCCAGGATTATCCACATTCACAGCCTCTTTCCTCAATGTGATTTTATTTCAGAAGCACTTGGCTCTCGCTCTACTTCAACCACCTCCATAAACTCAACATCCATCAGACTGGTCAACCCATGTCTGAATCCCAACTGTGGATTAAGTGGAACTTCTTCCCCATAGGTGTCCTGGGAAGCATGAAAATCATATGGGTGTCTGTTTTAAGGTCTCAGAACATTCCATGAGAAGCACTTTGCTCCATCTTCTTTGTCAGGAGCTGGTCAGCCTGGAGCACATCAGAGACCTCCAGGGAGTGCTGGAGCTAAGGCTTGATACCCATTGGCCTCATTTCTGACCCAGTTCAAATATATTTCACCAAGGCAAGGATTCCTGTTTGTTCTAGTTACCTTTGCTCAATTACGTCTAGATTTGGGTGGGCATCCACACTGGAATGGCCAGGACTTCTATCCTCCTCCTTCCTCCGTCTCCCCTACCCCTTTGTTTTTCTCTATTCTAATTCATGCCCTTATTATGATTTTCCTGGACAATAGTAGTAGTTTCTTACCTCATCTCTCTGCCTCTGGTTCCTGCTCTCTCCAACTGACTTCACAGTCTTCCGAAAACAGATTTCCAGCCTTGTCATTTTCATTTGAAGATTTCTGAAGATTTAAAAAAATATTCAGTGTTCTGACACTTAATCTGGCTACTGGGAATCACTTCGGAGCTGATTAAAAACATAGATCTCCAGACCTCCCCACCCAGGGAATCTGAATCTCTAGGCAGTGAGTCGGGGGGAATCTTTGCTTCACAGAGGATCTCAAGGAGAATCTTCTGAGCAGCGAGGTTGGGGACCTGCTGGCCTAGAGTGTAGCAGGACGAGCCACAGACAAAACCTTTCAGACACCGAGTTGTAGAAGGAAGGGCTTTATTCAGCTGGGCGCATTGGCAAGCTACTGCCTTAAAATCCGAGCTCCCCGAGTGCACAGTTTCTGTCCCTTTTAAGGGCTCACAACACTAAAGATTTCACATGAAAGCATCATGATTGATTTGAGCAAGCAAGGGGTACATGACGGGTTGCATGCACTGGTGGTCAGAGAGAAACAAAACAGGGCCGGGAGGGAGTTTCACTACGTTCTTTTATACAATGCCTGGAATCTATGAATAATATCGGTTTCTAAGTTATGAATTGATTTTTAACTACTGGGTTTAGGCCAGGCAGGCCCAGGCCTTGTTTTGGACCTGGCACCGGGCTGCCTGTCTTTGGTTTTACTTCCTTGTTTTTTTTCTTAAAACAGGTACTGAGTGTAAAACAATATAAAACAGTATGAGGGGGTCTCTCTCTCTCTCCTCAATATGAGAGGGTCTCTCTCCTCAAGAGGAGAAACCCACACTCCTTAGACTGGAATCAGGGGGGTCTCTGCAATCTGGCAGCTGATTACCATGAAAGAAAATGCTGCCACGTTGCTGATTTGGGCCTCTATGAAGTCTTAGTGACAGTTTTTGCAAATTTGGACACCTCTCTCAACCAATTACCTCAGCAACTTTCCTAAACCCATGTCACTCCTCATCCTTACTCAATGTGTCCATCTTCTCCCTCTTATTGGATGACATTCCTTCCACTTTCCCAGGAACAGAGGGATCAATGGTGTGACCTCCTGAGGCTCCTCCTCCTCCCCCTTCATTCTTTCCTCTCTCTCTAGGACAAAGGTCCTTGTTTAGTGCAAGGCTCACTAGTGCTTTTTGGTTTCCTTCACAGGATTTCTCTCTTGGCCAAATTAATACAGGGGTGGGTTATTAAAAGATTATTTTTAGGCAGCTAGAAAGGGTAAAAGTTCTTGGTGGAATTTGCCTTTAATAAAAAGCAGCCCAAAACCATTTTTTTCTCTAACAGAAAGCAGCCTGAAAACTCAGGCATAGATGGGCAAACTAGAAGCTTTTATATGTAAATGCCAGCAGCTGTACCTGGAAGCCAGGTAATTCAATATGGCGTTCTCACCCTCTTTTCCTTCTATGTTTACAGGTGTCATGGCAGCCTCCAGGTTAAAGCCGTGTGCAGGTATCATGGCCACCACCAGGTGGAGGCTGTATTTGTATAATAAAAGATTAGGGTGGGAGGGCCAGTCTTTTTGCTGGTTATGTAAATGGAACACCTGGTCAAACCAATCCCCTGAGCCCTATGTAAATCAATCACTGCCTCCTCAAGCCTCGTACAAAACCAGTTGTGTTCCACTACAAACAGGAGACCCTCTCTTGGGCAACCTGCTTTCTCAGCATTAGGAGGCTTTTTCTCTCACTCTTCTTTTCTATTAAACTTTCCGCTCCTAAACCCACTCCTTGTGTGTGTCCGTGTTGTGAATTCTTTTTTCGGTTATGGCAAAGAACCAGGGTATATACCCCAGACAATGGAGCTGTTTCATTTTGGGAGCTCATCTGGGATCCGAATCAGAATGGAAGATAGAAATATCAGAGCGGTGAGTGTAGAGCAAACCTCAAATCTGTTCTTTAATTTCAAGGCTCTCTTCATACCAGTTTTCTTTCATGGATAACTTCACCATCGCATGAGGCTGGGAAAAGTCTTGGGGCAACTGAAAATTTCTGGCCAGGGTACACCTTGGTGTTACTCAAAGGCTTCTGTACTGAACTCAAACTCCGACAGCCTGTCCAGGCGTTGGTAATGGATCTGCAGCTGTTGCAAAATTTTCCTTTCTTTTCTATCTGTGGTCACTATGTCTCCTGTCCTCTCTGTGTGTGCAATTTGCGGGAAGTTTTACAGTTCAGGGAAACAGTCATGTTAGGGAAGATAGGCAAATGCCACAGGCAGTAACTCTTACTCTATCCGGTCTCTGGTGAGCACATGGTATTTCTAAGCCAACACCACCACCTAGAGGAAATAGAAATCCTCTTCATCAGGCACCCTGTCGGTGTTTTATCGTTAACACTGCAGCTTCCAAATTCTTTCTTTCCATACCACTAGAAAAGCCTCTTCTGTGAACGGGAAAGCTCTGTCTTCAACAGTTACGAGTAAAATGTCCTCTGCAGTGAAATTTTAGTTCTGATACTGTCCCATCGGCAGGAAAAACTGCCATTAGGTTCCCATGTTCATTTCTGTCTCCAGTTAGGACAGTACTTAATTAGCAAGGGGATTTTAGGTTCGGAAGTTAACCAGAGCCATTTTGCTAAGGTAAATGTTTTAGATGGTCTGTAATGGTAGGCAATGTAGCACACTGCCTCCATTAAAGGAGCCTACCCAAAGATGACATAGTCTCTCTGGAGATCCATTTTTTGGGGAGCCACACAGATCACACAAATTTAAGATGTCAAAGGGGATCACACAAGGTGGTTAAGCTAAGGTTGTGTGGGTAAAGCATGATTAATCCCATCACTTAGCTTATCCAGTTCCATGGCTTGGAGGACCATGTATACAACCATGGGTGGCACATTTAATGCATTGCCAGGACCCAGGAACCAAGGAGAGAATACAGTAGGGAGGACACTTCCACTGTCTTCCCCTCCACCCTGGGTCACAATGAAAGAATGGGGACTGAAATGACACTTTTATTCTCACTTCTTTTTCTAGATAGGTGACAGACTAGCTTCAGCTTGCACCCCTCTGGAGTTCACTCTGAAACACTGGAACTCCTTTAACCTCAGGACTTTGAATAGAAAAGTGACTCATTTTCTTTTGCACAAGGGCATGGCATTTTTACAAAACCTTTACAAGCATTGTAAGATCAGCCCAGCTTTTAAAATAGGTATATCAGAGAGGCCTATAGAAAAGAATCCCCC